AGGTTCATGCACAGGTCAGTATGTTTCCCGGAGACAGAGTTGAAGCAATTGTAGATTCACTATATAGAATACAAACTGTTGTTTTATATCTTTTAATGCAGGTTTCACTCATGACACTCCTACAACAGCATGTAAAAGCATTGTGATATCTCTTTTTCTAAAGAGATAGCACAACTCAAACTGCTTGCTTTCAGACTATAACAGGCTTATTCACAAAAGGGTGAAGAGTCTGGAGGAGGCCGGAGAAGTGAACAATCTAGGACAGCGGTTCTCAACCTGTGGGTCGCGACCCCGTTGGGGGTCGAATGATGATTTGCCAGGGGTCGCTTGAAGACATCCGAACTCTCCCGGACGCTCCGGGAGTCTCCTGCTATTAGATAGCGGCTCCTGGCCGCCCGGGAGAGAAACACTTTCTCCCGGAAAGGTTTTAATCTGCACGATCGAGCAGAGTAAACCTTTCTCTGCTCTGTTTTTTTTTTTTGACATTGGGGCCGCCAGCCGCCGTAAGTCAGAAAAAAAAAAAACACCATATGAATGCATTGCTAGATTCCTATTGGCTAGTTCACTTTGCAATAGCCAAGAGCAAACTAGCTATTGCACCCGCCCACTGCTGCCGCCGATTAGCAGAGGGGAACCTGAAGTTCTCCATCCGTTCCCCTTCCAGTGATTGACAGCAGCAGGGGGCGGGTGCAATTTTAGTTGTGGGGGTCACCACAACTTGGCAAATGTTACCAAGGGGTCCTGGCCCTAGAAAGGTTGAGAACCACTGATCTAGGACAAAATCGCTGAACTGGAAAGTGAGCTGAATAGGAGAATTTTTCCAATTCAATTATTTTGGCCTAGATTGTTCACTTCTCCGGCCTTCTCCAAACACTTCACCTCTTTGTGAATAGACCTGTATATGTTTCTGTAATTGTGTCTCCATATACACTAAATGATAAGAGCAGCATTGTGAAAGCAGGCAAAAACTTCTCCCTACTTGCTGAAATTGTAATGTTGAAATATTTATATACAATGTACGAACTGAAAACATTATGTTTTTACATTTTTATAAGTCCTGAACATTTTTTAAAAATTGTAATCAAGTTGCGATATTGTAAAAATTATTTTGTTTCAACTTGATATTTTTAAATAATTAATTTATACGTTTATTTGGTTCATTTTCAGAAATGGGGGCCCACGGGATTCTCTTGCTATGTACGCTGATCGCAACTTTTTCAGGTAAGAGTGAAATATTTTTAAAATAAATAAACAGGTTAGGATAAAACCTGGAGCAATGAAAACTATTAAAGTTTAGGATGTATGGACTCGAGCTTTAAAGGAGAACTATGGGGTAAGTGCTTTTCCCCATAGTTATCCTAAGGGTCACGGGAGGACACAAACTAGCGTCCTCCCGTGACCCAAAGCTCAGTATGCCGCGAGCTACAGCTTGCGGTATACTGAGACCGCCGCAGCCGGGACGGATCCCGACAATACTGTCGAGATCCACCCAGCTCTGGATTGACAGCTGGCTCTGCCTATCTAGAGGCAGAGCCAGCTGTGCCCGCCCCCATCCGTTCCACCAGTCAGTGCTGGAGGATCGGAGCGGGTGGGAATCCCTGCAGGGAGCCGTGAGTGACAGTCACAGCTCTCTGCAAGGAGATGATCGAGAAGTGAGCGAGCGACGGTATGGGTTCGCTCACTTACCGATCTATTGAGCCGATGTGTGACAGTTTCATCTTCACACGTCGGCTCTAACTATGAGGTTGAGTGAAAATAACTCACCTCATAGATCTCCTTTAACTCTTTTAGGCCCAGAGGTCATTGGAGACGGCTTTCGATGCCCAGGTCAAAATTTAGCAGGGTCACCATGTGCCAGTTATTTTGACAATACCTTATGGCTATTTTTTTTTTTCTAAATAATTTTTACGTATAAGATTTTAAGGTTATAAACTAAATTAAATAATTCTCTATTTTTTTATGATAAGCAAAATCCGAATTTCGTTCAAAACGGAACTAAATCAGACACGTGATTGATTTCTGGCCAACCAGATTTTTTTGGGTTGTTAGGGGTTGGATTACAGGCAAGGTCATGTGACTTCGTTTACAAAAAAAAAATTTGCATCATTCCGAAAAGAAAATTCAGATGGACCCGAAATCCGGATTACAAACTGTATTAAATTCTGGAATCAAAATCCATAGTATAGTATTTGAGGTTGAATAAAGACATTAGTCCATCAAGTCCAACCTATTAGGATCTCATTCTAGGAGTACCTGTACCCCTGTATATTACGGTCCCTTAAGAAATCGTCCAAAAGTTTCTTGAACAATTCCACATTCTTTGCTGAAATCACCGCCTGTGGCAGTGAGTTCCAGACCCTAACTGATCTTACTATGAAGAACCCCCTTCGCCCCTTGTGCTGGAATTTTTTTTCCACCAATTTTAGGTGGTGGCCTCTAGTTTTTGTAATGGAGTTAATTTTAAACAGTTTATCGCTAATGTTGCTGCCACCATTGAACATTTTGTACATGGAGATCATATCCCCCCTTAATCTCCTCACCTCCAATGTGAACATGTTTAAATTTAGTAGCCTTGTCTCGTAGCTCTGGTCCTCCATACCCCTAATTAGTTTGGTTGCCCTCCGCTGGACTTTTTCCAACTCAAGGACATCTTTTCTTAGTACTGGTGACCAGAACTGGACCGCGTACTCCAGATGAGGTCGAACCAATGATCTATAAAGTGGCAAAATTATAGACTTGTCCCTGCAATACATCCCCTTTTTAATACAGGACAAGACCCTGCTAGCTTTGTTTACAGCAGCCTGGCACTGCAAACTACCTTTCAGTTTGTGGTCTACAATGACCCCCAAATCCTTCTCCATTTCTGACTTCCCCAGCGGCATACCCATAATTGTATAACCCATTTGTTTATTTTTTATTCCAAAGTGCATTACTTTGCATTTATCGACATTAAACCTCATCTGCCACATTAATGCCCACTCCCCTATTTTATCCTCCCGATGTCATTAATAAATAAGTTGAACAATATGGGACCCAGCACAGAACCCTGAGGCACACCGCTCATTACACTAGCCCAGTCTGAAAAGGTGCCATTTACATCTGAAAAAGAAAATAAAAATCTGAAACAAAATTATTTTTTTGGTTGGGTTACATGTCTAGTACCTTAACTATGAACAACAATGTATCTTATTTTTGTATCACTCGGCTGTAGATCCTCCAATCATCTCTGAATTGGTGCTGACACTGTCCTTCCTTCTGGAGTGGGGCTACTTTTCTTCCCCATGGTCCCTGTGTGTGTTATTATCCCCCCTCCAGAAGGAAGGACAGTGTCAGCACCAATTCAGATGATTGGAAGATCTACAGCCGAGTGATACACAAATAAGATACATTGTTGTTAATAGTTAAGGTGCTGGAATGGATTTTTCATATTTAACTCCTGAGTTTAGTGTTACTTTAAGATACTCTTTTATCTACATCTAACTCCACCATCATTAACTAACTGGAACCACTAGTGACAGTCATTGGATCCAGAGCTGCAGTAGACCAGTAGCCCTATTCCTGGTGCCATCATGCTGCTGTGGCCTGCTGTAGGCTGAGACAAACCTGCTGCTGGACAGCCAGGAAGAAGAGTCCACATCACCAAGATGGTGATGTGGACACCCCAAGAGAGACCCTCCTCTTCTTCAGGGAAAATGTGAGAAACCGAGAGAAGACTTGGGAATCAACTCAACCACGGATTAAGGTGAGCATTTTGGGCATTTGGAATATTCAAAATACAAAATGTAAAAAATAACCCTTGCAGTGGAGCTACCCTCTGCACTGAAAGGGTTAACTGCTGGTTTTGGTCTAGGAACTTAAATAAAGAAGATCTACTCACCTCATCCTTGGTCCCACCTGGCTGATAGACCGGTCCCCGAATCCTCATCTCCCCTGGGCTCTGGCGGTTTAAGGACCCGTGATGTAATTACGTCTAGTGCAAGTGCATGTGTTAACTGCGAGAGCAGAGGGGGAGAGAGGTGAGCGATGACTGTCGCAGGACAGAGGATTAGGTGAGTATATCTTCTTTATTGGCCCCAAGTGAAAAATGAGCACTTAAGCCTTGCAGTGCAGGGGGGGGGGGGGGGGGGGGCGCCCGGCCAGGGTGAAGA